TGTGTATACCATCGATATAATGCACTACAGTAAATTTCAAGTTAACTCCAACAGCACTTCACATCTAGAAGGTCAAAGGCAAAAATGCAAGGAAACATCACCATCTGCAAGAATCCCCTCCAAATCATACAAACTATTCTGACTCGGAACTATACTATCATTTCTTCGATGCCACTGGATCAAAATCCTTGAACTTCCAACAGCATGGTGGGAGTCCCCATACCCCAAGGACTGCAGCAGTTTCAAAAGATATCGTCTTTCTCCAACAGAGTTAGGGATGGACAATAAGTGCTGGCCTAGTCAGGAACATATACATTGCTTGAAAAAAAAAATTTAAGTGCTAATCTAGAATTCTGAAAGCAACCACTAAATCATGTGAATTTTAAAAGATTCATATTTGTTTAAGTAAATCTGCAGTTAAAATTTATGATATGGAATTTTTTAAAATCACTAATTTTAACCAATTAAACACCCTTCTTTACCTTTGATCAATTTCACAACTGACAGCACAGGCCAGCAATCAGTTTCCTCTACTTTGCACTCTTACTGTTCAGGTCCAGAAATCATCTGGAACACAACAGCAAACCCAAAGCTCTTTTCTGGATGCTGGCACCAGACAACACAGCCCTGGTACTTTTGGTACTGTGTGAGTTATGTGCATGGAGATCTAGTATAGAGCAGTTCACCCTCTCTTCCACATCGCAATGATACCAATAGGCCATCATGCAGGATGCATTACATTTTGAGAGGTGATAAAAAAATGACTGATTAATAAATATGACAAAAGCAAGCAGTCACAGAAAGAGACACAAAGTAACAGAGCTGTTCACCAAAGACTGAAGATTTCATCTGCCAATACTTTTTAACATTCTACCTTTTGATCAATGCCCATTTGTTAATTTGTAAAGCAGCCCATATGTTCATCTTCATAAGATGATTTTGGAAATGAAACCTGTTGACAAACACACAGACAAAATTAAAGTATATTATCAGCATTGAGATAACACAGTGTGCAGCTGAAGGGACACAGCAGGCCAGGCAGCATCGGAGAAGTAAGAAAGTTGACCCTTCTTCAGAAAAAAGGGGTCCCAACCTGAAACGTCAACTTTCCTACGCCTCTGATGCTGCCTGGCCTGCTGTGCTCCTCCAACTCCACACAGTGTTATCTCTGACTCCAGCATTGGCAGTTCTTACTATCTCTTATTAACATTGAGGGTCTGTTGATGAGAGGTCAAGTGTAAGCCTTTCCGTTTCACATTGCCCTTTTCTATATGCATATCTTTTATGATTGTATAATAAGATAACAGTTTATGTTTCATTTGAGTGAGCCATTTCATGTAAGATCAATTAGTACCAATTACATTTAATTCAATAACAGCATATTTAGTATCACCCTACAAGTTCATTTTATGATACAGTAACATTCTTCGCAAAAGCTCTGATCATGTTGCTCACGGCTGATCATTTTATCACTTATGGAACAATTGTGGAGAGATATCTCAAGTGACTCCTTGAGGTAAGCGTTTTTATTTTTCTGATCACTGAAGTAGGGCTTTTGTGCCCTGCAGCAATTGGTATCCAAAAATCATTTTAACCTCCTAAGCTTATAAAGTGCAAAGACAATAAGGTAACTTTATTGTAGATGTGACAGTCAAATAGTTTGTTCTGGTAAACATCATCACACACACATCCTCGGAGGTCATTCTACTGGATGATTGGTGCTTAGAATCCGCATTGATCCTGCAAGCATGCTCTGGACAGACACTCCGCGTTGATAACATTTCTGTGACTGAGAATAAGGGAGCCTGCCAAGGTGAACTCCAAGGCTGTACTTTTTGTGGGGTTTCTCTCCTTCTGTGATAGGGGTGGATGGATGTCATATGGAGCAATCTGGTTGTAGCAATAGCCTCCTCCGTTTCTTAATTAGTGTACTATCTATAAGATGCACTACAGAAATTCACCAAAGATCCTCAGACAGCACCTTCCAAAGCCACGACCACTTCCATCTAGAAGGACAAGGGCAGCAGATATATGGGAACTCCACCACCTCCAAGTTCCCCTCCAAGTCACTCACCATCCTGACTTGGAAATATATTGCCGTTCCTTTGCTGTCACTGGGTCAAAATCCTGGGATTCCCTCCCTAAGAGCATTGTGGATCAACCCACAGCAGGAGGAATGCAGCAATTCAAGAAGGCAACTCACCACCACCTTCTCAAAGGCAACTAGGGATGGGCAAGAATGCTGGCTAGCCAGCCACACCCACATCCCACAAAATGAATAGAAAAAAATTAATTGAAATCGTACATAAACTGCACAAAACTGCATTGTAGGAGAAGGCTTCTAGTATGACCAATACAAGATTGTCTCCCTACTGATGAAACTAAAGACCGTTCGAAATATTGACCTAAACACCTGGTGTTGAGTGTTAATTTCAACAACTCCACCCAGTCATTTGTTGAGCCTTCACTGTTATACTATATATGATTTAGAACATTTAGACGCTTTAATATTTAGGTAAGAAAAAATCCCAATAGGAAACTTGAGGTAATACTTTAAATCAGTACAAAATATGGATCTCTTATAAAAATGCTAAAATTCAATTATCACTATCCGGGATATTTAGTCATTCATGGCATGTAGATATCACTAGCTAAGTCAGCATTTATTGCCCATCACTAATGGCCCTTGAGAAGATAGCAGGCAGACATCTTCTTCAAATCCTGCAGTTCATGCGATACTGGTACATTCACAGTGCTGTTGATAAGTTCCAGGGTCTTGACCCAGTGAAAGTTAAAGAAGTGTGATACATTTCAAAATCAGGATGTTATTCTGCTTGGAGGGGATTGTATGGGTGGTGTCGTTCCCATACATTTGCTGTCCTTGTCCTTCTAGGAGGTAAAAGGTTGCTTGGTTTGGACAGCAGTCAAAATAGGCTGGGGAGTTACTGCAATGAATATTGTAGACGCTACAGGTTGCTGTCATTGTGATTGGGTGGTGGAAGGAACGAATGAATGTTTCACAAGGCAGATGAAGTGGCAACCAAGTGGATTGTTTTGTACTGGATGGTATCAGGTATTAAGCTTCAAGCTTCTTTAGTGCTGTTGAAACTTCACTCATTCAGGTATGTTGAGAGTATTCTGCCCCACTCCTTGGGCCATAAAAATGGTGGACAGGTTTTGGAGAGTCAGTAAGTGTTACTCAAGAATTCCAGTCTCTGACCTGCTCTTGCAGCCACAATATTTACACTGCTGGCCTAGTTCAGTTTCATGTCAATAGTAACTCCCAGGGTGTTAATAGTGGGGTAGCTGAGCAACAGTCATGCTTTTGAAATGTGAAGGCTATTGCTTGGTATTTATGTGGCACAAATGTTACTTGCCACTTACCAGCCTAAGCAAATGCTGTCCAAGTTTTGCAGCTCAAGGACACTGGCTGCTTCAGTATCTGAGGAGTCACAAAAGGTACTGAGCATTGTATACTCATCAGCGAACATCCTCACTTCTGATCTTATGATGAGGAAAGGTCATTGGTGAAGCACTTGAAGAAAGTTGGGCCTTCGACACTGCACTGAGGAACTTCTGCAGAGATGTCCTGGAGCTGAGACGAATAACCTCCATCAACTACAACTGCCTTTCTTTATGCCAGATACGACTCTAACTGATGGAGGCAATTCCCACTGGCTTCCGTTTTATAAAAGTACCTTGACACCGCTTAGTCAAATGCTGCCTTGATGTCCAGGACAGTAACAACTTACCTCTAGAACTGAGCTCTTTTGTCCAAGTTTTTACTGTGCAAGTAATGCTTGACACAACGACAATTCCTTCCATCAGCACTATTAATTCAACATTCCGAATAAATACTTACGTTTGATATGATTCAGTACTTAATTTCAGTGCAGATTTAGAATTTGAAGAGTCATGAGTTTAAAGTTAAACATATTTTCCCATTTTTACATCCCCCACCCAGCTTCCTTTAGCTTCCTTAACTGTACGTTATTCTTCAATAATAGTTTAATTCCTAATTCATATGTTTGTATATGTTTATGCACAGCCCATCCCATAAACAGTTGCTTCATAAGACTATTTAAAGAGACAACAGCAAGGGTCTGCGTCTAGCAGAATAGCATGTTGAAAGAGCCAGTGTTGACTCAATGGGTGATGGCCTCCTTTTGTGCAATATTCTATAACTGAATGGTATGGTGAGCTGGCAACCTTCTCCTAGGACATCAACATCACTATTTCAAAATCAGCGCATGATACTAGTTTAGGGTGATCCTCTCTTTTGCTGGCATTTTTTGTCATTTCTTTATGCTACACTACAGGCTCCCAGTGAAACACAGAATGCTGTTCCAATGTAGGTCAGTAGGTAATAAATTCACCTCTGGATCAGATCGATAGTGGGGTTGAACACATTGTTGAGATTGACACAACAGCACAGTAACAAAGAAATACTGCAGCTTCAAAAGGTACTTTACCTTAGATGCAGAGTAATTCTGGCTTACACCATTACAGTTTCAACCATCATATGATTTTGTGATGGGTACCATGCACATGAAACACGATTTCACCAGACAAGAACTGAATAAAGTAAAACCAAGAGTGCACCAGCCATTCAGAGAGTATTTGAAATAAATTAGTTTTGTATCCTTACCTTATTCTACTTTAAAAGTCAACAGTTGCAAAATTTTAAAAAAGCTACTTCATATGCAGTGCAACAAACCTGCATTACTTCACGTGATAAAGGATTCAGCAAGCAAAAGAATAAATACCTGCTGTTTAGACAATAAAAACAATGAGTTCAACATGATTACTGATGAGCGTACTTTGAAAGAACCATCAATAGCAATGCATTTTCCCTGAGTATTTAAAGGCTTCAGGAAATGTATTATTAATTGCGTACTGCCTGCCACATAAGACCAGATCACAGGTACAGGTTCAAAGAATACTGTTGTACTCTTCAATTATCTAGCCTTTCAAACAATACCCAGGAACAGAGAGAAAAATTCACTCTCAACATTTAATTCTTCATCACAATCCTTTGATTGAGGTACAGCCTTCCCATGCTTTATTCTATATCATAGTTATGTATGCAATAGAATATAATTTATTCAGCCCTTTAATGACACATTAATTCAATTATTTTATGGAACTACAAAAATACTTTTAGAGCTCAAGTAAAAGAACAGCATTGATCATTTCTCCTTGAATTACCACATTTTTCAGGAGTGGGAAGATGAGATTGAATGGCATAGATCACACATTTTTCAGATTAGAATATATTTGCATACAAAATTATATGTACATCTCTACAACAGTTCTTGTGTAATTATTTTTTCACAGTTAAGTTGCCATCTGTATTAGCTTTTAGCAGATCTGCCAATGCTTACCAATTTGAACCACACATTTGTATGGGAGAGTTACAAAATTACTTTATTAAAAAGTCTTTGATACGTTCTGGCAAAACAAAGGGGATGGGAAGAGACTTTTATGAATTTGTCGGTTTGTACAAATCTGACATTTTTCTTGCACAGTGAAAAAGATGTCAGAAATCCACACAGTTCTCTGTAAATTTAATTTGTAATATACAGTATATATTTACAATTGGGGTGCATTATAACAACATCTAGTTTCCCTAGTTTACCAATACACTGAAAATTCATTGTATGCATAGCACATTGTTTCATTTTATTGCCCATTTTTATAGGGAAAACAAGAATAGGGAAGGTGTTATATCAAATTCAGCTCATTTTATTGTTCTTGTTGCAGATTTAATCTTAAGGGGAGGGAAAGTTTCTATTCGTTTATAAAATGTATCTGAAACTATAATCTGACATCTGGATCTGTAAGTTTTTTTGCACTATTTAGTTACTACAGCAATCACAACACTGACTTTTTAAAGTAAATAAACACATTTCTAATACAAGTTATCAATAAAAAAAAGCACTAATGGACTAAATATAATGGAACTGATCTTCCCTTTCCCCTTTTACATTCTAAATAGCAATTTCATCAATGACAATTCATTAAAAACTGTACTACACAGATTTTATACTCATGATGTGAAGGCCTGAGTTGGTGGGGAAAGGAAAGTTGTCAAAAAAGCCTGAGAAGATAAAAAGTTCAGATTCAATCCACTAAATTTACAATAATTTACAGTATTATATCTTCAAAGGCATTACAATTGATCAACAAAAAATATTTTACAGTTGTAAGTACAGAATTTAAATATTCAAGCTTGCCGAGAATGGGCAATGTGGTCGCAGTGTAAAATGTAAACAGACTCAATACAAATAACTTTGGAAGGTGAACCAGTCTTCTACCTTTTGAACAGTCTAAATTCTTACTCCGTTCCTAAGTTCCTGCATAATCTTTGTTAAATGGATTTAAATTTGTTGTTCTACAACACATAATTCAGGGGACTGAAGCCGCCAGATCGGAGAAGAATGAATACTATGATCCAGTGTGTTTGGGGCAGTTTTCCAATAAATGCAGTAGTAAACATATCCATGTTTAAAGTAAAAATAAGGAACAAAACATGCCACAAAGATTGCAGCACAGTACAGCTTTAACCTCATTACAAAAATATTTTCTTCTTGAGATAACAACCTTGAGACCTGTAAGGAGGAGTAATAATACCACTGCTCGAGAAGCAGATCTTGTCTGCACATTTTAAGTCACATAAGGCATTTACTGTGTTCACGTTTTTATGGCTGCATTGGGTGAAGACCTGGCATCACATGCCCTGTTATGTTTTACGGCTGTTCCAGATGTGCTCAGGTGTACTTTTGTGATCAGAGGAGTACTCAAGGGGAGATCTGTGTTCCAACGGTGATCTGGAGTCATAAGGGGACCTCTGGTCCAAGGGTGACCTTGGTCCACTACCAGATGGTCTGTGGTCCACTGGCCAGTCTGAGTGGTATCTGTAATCCCTGGAGGATTTGTGATGGCCTGAGTATTCTGAACTGGATCGGTGATCTGAATGTGATCGATGCTCTGAACTGGATCTGTGATCTACATGAGATCTGCTCTCCTTTGAACTGGCCTCCGTGCCAGACCGGTGTTCACGATTTCTGTGATCAAGTTTTCTGTGTTTGCTTTCACTGTAGTACCTGAAAAGTTGGAAGAGAGAACACATTCAGTCCACGTTGAGTTACATATAGTTAGACAACATAATGCTAATTCAACCAAGGTTCACTACAGTTGGTGAGACTCTAGTATCTGGAAATTGGCTGTTGTGTTTCAATAGTGAGTACAATATAAAATATAATTTACTGACAAGAGTACTTTGAGATGCCCCGAGGTCTGTCTATAAATACAATTTCTTTTCATACAGCCTAGATTTATAGAAAACTACCTGTATGAGGACTAACTTGAGTTCTTGAGTTTTCTTGAAGCAGGGTAATTAATACAGATTTAATAGATGTCTTGTAACTATGTTTTACAACTAGCTCAGGTGTCAATGACCAGTGTCATCAATTTGAAATGGTCAGTAGAGAATTAGGCTAGGAGAAATATTTGGAACTGATATGCATGCTGTAGTTTGGCACCTGAGGTAGTTGAGACTAATGCTGTTGTATCATTTTAAGTAAAAATGTTGCTAACATTTGGTGAAAAGGACAAAGTCTTATTAACTGACCCAACACAATGAGATGAATGGACTACTCTGCTCTAACAAAATTGCCAAACTTTAAATGCTGAGTACTAAACTGATCCACTTTCAGTAAGTTGCACACCAAGCAACTTCTAAAGTATTCTGTGCAGTCCCATTACATTGTAAAACAGAATAATTTTAGATCATATTTTATCTAAATTGAACTTAATATGTTTGATAAGATACTACATAAGAGAATGACATGTAAAATCAAAGCTCATACGATTGCGGATAGCGTACTGATACGGATTGACAACTGGCTGGCAGCCAGCAAACAACAGGGAGGAATAAAAGGGTCATTTTCTGAGTGGTGGTCAGTGACTAGTGGAGTACCACAGGGATCAGTCCTCGGGCCCCAGTTATTCACAATATACATTGATAATTTAGATAAGATAACTAAATGTAATAAAGTATGTCCAAGTTTGCAAATGACACAAAGCTGGGTGGAAGGGTGAACAGTGAGGAACATACAGTGATGCTACAGTGAGATTTGGACAAGTTGAGTTATTGGCAAATGCACAGCAGATTAAGTACAATGTGGATAAGAAATTATCCACTTTGATAGCAAGAACAGGAAGGCAGATTACCTGCATGGCAATAAATTTGAAAAGGGGGAGGAGCAACAAGACTTAAACATGCACAGGCAGCAGGCGGTGAAGATGACAACTGGTATAATGGTCTTCATTGTGACAGAATTTGAGTATAGGAACGGGGATGACTTGCTGTAATTGTACAGGGCCTGGGTGAGACCACACCTGGGGTACTGTGTGCAATTTTGGTCTCTATCTGAGGAAAGACATTCTGGATATGGAGGGACACTAATGAAGATTTACCAGACTGATTCCTGGAATGGCAGAAGAAAGACTGGATCAGTTAGGACTATATTCACAGGCGTTAAGAAAAATGAGGGAGTCTCTCATAGAAACCTATAAAACCGTAACAGGACCAGACAGGATAAACACAGGAAGAATGTTCCTGATGAGTAGGGGTCAGTCTAGGGATATGCGGTAGGCCTTTTACAACTGAGAGGAGGAGAACACCCAGAGAGTGGTGAACTGTGGAATTCTCTGCCACAGAAAGTAGTCAAAGCCAAAACACAATGTTTTCAAAAAAGGATTCAGATATAGCTCATAGGGCTAAAGGGTTCAAAGAGTGTAGGGAGAAAGCAGGAGGATACGGAGTTGGATGATCAGGCATAATCATATTGAATGGTGGAGCAGGCTCGAAAAGTCAATTGGCCCGCTCCTAAGTTCTATATTAAATAAAAGCTAGTATGACTTTAAAATATTTTAGCTTTTGAGGATTTTTGGAGTTGAAGTGGTATCTTCGATGTTATGCAGCTGCTTCAACCTACCTGCCATCTGACCTGTAATGATCTCTGTCTCGATGGTCTTTGCCATTGCTAAATGAGGAATATGGTCTCTTTCTCGAGGAATCGCCTTTTCGAGAGGAATCCCCATGGTGTCGATCTCTGTGATGGTCATGATAATGTGATGAGTGGTGTCGTTCAGATGAATGGCTATCCCTACTGCTATCATCATTGTGAGAATTCTCCTTGGGTTTTTCAGATTCTGTTCAATAAAAATAGAATCGTGATTTTGTTGTCAGATTCAAATTTCTTTCGCAACAACCATTTTAAAAAGAGTCATTAATCTGAAGCTCACTCCTGACCTTTCATTGAAAGTTGTAGCTTAGAGAGAAAATTCAATAATTTACACAAATGAAATCAGAGTCAATTAGAAGCTTACCTGTGTGTTTGGCATTATGGATGTTGAGACTACCACTGTGTTGATCATTATGCTGCAAAAACAAAACACAACTGTTAATCACAAAGAATGAATCCAGTTAAAATGGCAGACAGGTTTTCATAATTCTTATGCAGCTGTACAGTTTGTATTATCTTTCAAGACCTGCTTGTTAATGCTCAGTAAGTTGTTGATATGATGTCAGTTTGTTGGATAAATGCCTTAAATCCCGGGTTTATATCGTACTTTAGGATGGAAATACATGGATAAGTTTAATCCTTTGGTGTAGTGTTGAGCAGATATTGCATTAATGGCAAAGCCACACTTCAATGCAAATAGTAAATAGACTCGGGTTGTGGGTGTTGAGGTTGTTGAAGTTGGTTGGCTTACTGAGCTGGTTTCTTGTTTCGCAGATGTTTCGTTACCATGCTTGGTAACATCCTCAGTGCAGCCTCCGATGAAGCGTCGGTGTGTTTTCCCGCCTGGCTTTTAAACTCTGGGGTCCGTTGAGATGGATTGCCTCACTTCCGGGTTTCCTTCATAGTGGAATGTATATGGGGTTGAGTTCAATGTGTTTATTAATAGCATGCTTTGTGGAGTGCCATGCTTCTAGGAATTCTCATGCCTGTCTCTGCCTAGCCTGTTCCAGGATCTTGGTGTTGTCCCAGTCGAAATGGTGGTTCTCCTTGTCCACGTGGATTGAGATGAGTGAGTATTGGTTGTGTCTTTTTGTAGCCAATTGGTGTTCATGTACTCTTGTTCTCAGTTTCCTTCCCGTTTGTTGGATGTAGTGTTTCTCGTAGTCTCTGCAGGGGATCTTGTAGATGACACTGGTCCTGTTCATGGCGGGAAGTGGGTCCTTAGTACGGGCGAGCAGTTGTCGTAGGGTTGATGTGGGCTTGTGTGCCACTCTGATGCCCAGCAGTTGTAGGAGTCTTGTGGCGAGTTCCGACGTGCTCCTGATGTAGGGTAGTGTGATGAGTGTGTCAGGGCGTGTAGTGCCTTTCTGATGCTGTTCGTATAGGCATCTTCTGACCAAATTCTTTGGATATCCATTATCCTTGAAAACCTGGAAGAGGTATTCTTCTTCTTCTTGGCGTAGTTCCGTGTTGCTGCCCATTTAAATAGTGTTCACACGCAGCTTCGTTTGTGTGTGCTGGGATGGTTACTGTTGAAGTTCAGTACCTGGTCTGTGTGTGTGGCTTTTCGGTGTACTTTCATTTGCAGTTCCCCATTTGTCTTGCGCTCAACCATGATGCCCAGGAATGGGAGCTGTTTGTTCTTCTCCTCTTCCTCTGGTGAATTTTATTCCGGTGAGGGTGTTGTTTATAAGTTTGTGTGTCTCCTCTAATTTGGTCCGTTTAATGATGACAAAGGTGTCGTCTCTGTAGCATATCCACAGTTTTGGTTGGATTTGCATCTACAAGGTCCCCTGCAGAGACTGCGAGAAACACTACATCGGACAAATAAGAAGGAAACTAACAACAGGAGTGCATGAACACTAACTGGCTACAAAAAGACACGACCAATACTCACTCGTCTCAATCCACATGGACAAGGAGAACCACCACTTCGACTGGGACAACACCAAGATCCTGGGACAGGCTAGGCAGAGACAAGCACGAGAATTCCTGGAAGCATGCTATTAATAAACACATTGAACTCGACCCCATATACATTCCACTACGAAGGAAAACCGGAAGTGAGGCAATCCATCTCAACGGACCCGAGTTTAAAAACCAGGCAGGAAAACACACCGATGCTTCATCGGAGGTTGCGCTGAGGACGTTACCAAGCAATGTAATGAAACGTCTGCGAAACAAGAAACCAGCTCGGCGAGCCAACCAACCTCAACACCCACAACCCGAGCTACAAATCTACTCCAAAACCTTAGAGTATACTGGTTGATTCAGGAAGTGAATATTGAACTGCAAGCTTTTACTCAATATAACACTCTCCCTTCTGACTCAGCAAATAATAGGTTCAAACCCCATTCCAGACACTTAAGCATATAATCTCTAAGGTTTTAAGAGTAGATTCGTAGCTTGGGTTGTGGATTTTGTGGTTGGTTGGCTCGCCGAGTTGGTTCGTTGTTCTGCCTACATTTCATTACCCTGCTGGGTGACATCATCAGCGCAGCCTCCGATGAAGGGCCGTTGTGTTTTCCTGCCTGGTATTTAAACTCTAGAGTCCGTTGAGCTGGATTACCTCACTTCCGGTTTCCCTTCGCAATGGAGTGTAGATGGGGTCAAGTTCTATGTGTTTGTTGATGGCTTTCTTCGTGGAGTACCAGGCTTCTAGGAACTCCCATGCTTGTCTCTACTTTGCTTGTTCCAGGATCTTGGTGTTGTCTGAAGTAGAGTCTACAGCCTAAATTCTGGAGCCATTTGCATCTTTTTAAAGACTCACATGCAGCTCCCAATTTTGATCAACTGAACCTATTTTGACAGCAATTAAATAGTTCAGATTTGTTTTAAGAGTTTTGTCAACATTTATTTATGAGCATCCATCAGTTGTTTAACAATGTTTTTGTTTTAAAAAAAGTCCTCTAAAATATTTGAGGTAATAAATCAAATGCTTTCTTTCATTGGTATTATTGATCTTAGACACAAAGAATTGCAACTCTTTAAAATATTGTTGTTTTGGACTAAATTTACACAATGACACTTGAAAACTTGCCAACCCCTGATCTCAGGTAACATCACAGTAATTTTTTTTAAAAATCGGAGGTGCCATCTTTGTACGATACCAGATCAGCCACATTTGCCACAGAGCGAGAGACAGGGGTCGGCGAAGACACACAATTTGCTGGACTCTTCTCTGGGTCCACTTCCTAGTCAGCTGAATGCTTTATTTCTGTTCACATCTTCCAATGCCCTTGCAAACAGTCAGCCTCCAGAGGTTATTATCATCATTGGCATGGACGGCTGCAACACAGTCAACATCCTTGTAGCAGAGGTTTGGAAACACAGGAGGTAGTGACTGAACTGCTAGTTCTTGTACAAAAAGTTCTTTGGTCCGTCATCCATCCAATGAACATGGCCAAGCCAGCACAGACATTGTTGACTTAGCAACAATGGAATTATATATTGTTGGAATGAACTAGTTGGTGCACTTGTCCCTACCAAGAATACATGTAAACAGCAAATGTGGAAACTATTCAGTCCTTTCTCCTGGATAACATATGATGTCCAGGTCAGACCACTTGTAGGAGATTACACTAGGACACAGACTCGTTAAACGCAGAGCTTATTGTTCTGTCAGGTTGTTGTTGCTCCATACTCTTACCCCATGTGATGACTTTGCGACGTGTTAATTTTAGCACCATGTGACAGTTTGCTGGTGATTGTACTGCCTAGATATGTGAAGCTATATAAAACGTAAAGCACCACATGCTCAATGCTGATAAAAAAAATCCTAGACCATTTTCTGGTCAGGGTTTACTCCCTCAAACATCATTAAAGGAAAACATATCGTATTATTTACTATAAAGCTGCTTGTCAGATCTTGCTGTATTTAACTTGTCTTCCACATTTTCTATATTACAAAAGTAGCTGCTATTTGCAACAGTAAATGGTTGTGAAGGACACTGGAATGCTGAGAGTTTGCAAAAATGAATTTATAAAACACACCTTGCCATATCATAGAATAGAATCCCCACAATGTAGAAGCAGGCCATCCTGACTGTCTGAAGAGCATCCCACCAGGACCCACCATCCTATCCTGTAATTCTGCATTTTCCATGGCTAATCCACCAAGCCAGCACACCTTGGACACTATGGGCAATTTAGCATGGCCAATCCACCTAAACTGCACTGTGGGAGGAAACTGCAGAACCCGGAGAAAACCCACGCAGACACAGGGAAAACATGCAAACTCCACACAGACAGTTGCCCGAGGGTGGAAGTGAACCCGGGTACTGTTTTTTTTAAGGAAAAGGCTACGAAATGTCTTAGAAACAAAAAATTGAGAAAGCTAGGAATCACAAAAGCCGAAGTAATTAATGAGAGGGAGGGAGAGAATCAGAGGGGTAGAGAGGTGGGGGGAGTAGGAAGAAAGGGGAGAGAAGGGGGTGATTAAGAGAAGGAAGAGACACAGTCAGCACGAGAGTGAGAGAGACAAGGAAGAGAGTCAGCACATGCACGAGAGTCAGCACATGAGAGAGCAAGAGTGAGCCAGTGCGTGAGAGAGAGAGGGAGAGAGATTGAGGTTGGTTGGCTCGCTGGGCTGGTTTGTTGTTCCGCAGACGTTTCATTACCCTGCTGGGTAACATCATCAGTGCAGCCTCCGATGAAGCGTCGGTGTGTTTTCCTGCCTGGTTTTTAAACTCTGGAGTCCATTGAGCTGGATTGCCTCACTTCCGGTTTTCCTTCGTAGTGGAGTGTATATGGGGTCGAGTTCTATGTGTTTATTGATGGCTTTCTCCGTGGAGTACCAGGCTTCTAGGAATTCCCGTGTCTGTCTCTGCTTAGCTTGTCCCAGGATTTTGGTGTTGTCCCAGTCGAATTGGTGGTTCTCCTTATCCGTGTGGATTGAGATGAGTTAGTATTGATCATGTCTTTTTGTAGCCAGTTGGTGTTCGTGTACCTTTGTTGTTAGTTTCCTTCCTGTTTGTCCGACGTAGTGTTTCTCACAGTCTCTGCAAGGGATCTTATAGATGACACTGGTCCTGTCCATGGCAGGGAGTGGGTCTTTAGCACGGGCGAGCAGTTGTCGTAGGGTTGATGTGGGCTTGTGTGCCAATCTGATTCCCAGCGGTCATAGGAGTCTTGTGGTTAGTTCTGATGTGTTCCTGATGTAGGGTAGTGTGATGAGTGTGTCAGGGCGTGTAGTATCTTCCCGATGTTGTTTGTGTGGGCATCTTCTGACCCAGGTTTTTGGATATCCATTATCCTTGAAAACATGGAAGAGGTATTCTTCTTCCTCTTGGCGTAGTTCTGTGTCGCTGCCCATTTAAATAGTGTTCGCACGCAGCTTTATTTGTGTGTGTTGGGATGGTTACTGTTGAAGTTCAGTACCTGGTCCGTGTGTGTGGCTTTTCCGTGTACTTTCGTTTGGAGTTCCCCATTTGTCTTGCGCTCCACCATGATAGTAGATACCATAGAGAGACAGTCAGCACGCGAGACAGAGAGTCAGACAGAGACACAGATAAAGACTGGCATGAAGAATTATGTGATCTTGAAATATGAAAATAATCCACCAAATCCCAAGAAACCTTATTTAGTTTCTAAACGTTGTTAAGAAATGAAAAAAAATGTAAATATTGGAAACCTGAAATATAAATGATATGTGAGAAATATGTAGCAAGTTGTTTAGTGCTTGAAAAGACAAAAGATAGAATAAATACTCAAAAAGAAACCCTTTGCTTAATTAGCAATGTTGTTAAGTTTTAGAACTGACAGATGAAAATGACCATCTTAGCTGTTGGGGACACAGAAAAAGTGCCACCTGTGAAACATAGACTGGCAGAAACCGATATTAGGTTTAGCAATTTTGCAAGTTAGTAACTAATTTACATAGCTAAGGGATTAACTAATATCCCACATTAAGAGATAACACTGTGATAGGTCTATAAAAGAATAGGCTTAATCTGTCAAACATTTTCTTTCATTCAATACTATCTTATACTTTTAACATGTTTTTTCAAAAAAGTCAGCATATGGTAAATATTTGTTCTCTGAAGTTCATTTTAAAAGAGGTCTGTTGATAACACAATCCTTATTTAAATTTAATGGCTGCTTTCTTAACTATTGAATTTTTGGAGTTCTGCATCACACCAATGAACACACCTTGTTCATACCTTAAGCAACCTTAAATGGTTTAATGCAATGTTACATGAGAATGATTAACCTGGCCATGCACTTGTGCCCACAGGTCTTTGACCTTCATTTGCTGAATGAAATCCTTCGCAGTCTATTTTCAGCAATATAACAACTCCAAAAGTTGTTCTCATCCTTAATATAAACAAATCAACAGGCTTGTTGAAGTTACTCAAGAGAAAAGGTCAGGTGAAGAAAGTCAAATTAAAGTGAAAACAAAAAGGACACAGTAGAGGGACTTGATGGGAGAAGTGCACAGGGCGCCTTAATTTGAAAGCAAATTCTAATATTCATCTGGCTGAGCAGCGTGATTCGAAAAATACCAATAATCATCTGCACAATCAGATCAGTTTTTTGAACTGTCTGGGGTCTAATATTCTGAGACATATTTTCCAAAAGTATCACTGTTCCCATACCCGAGAGTTCTCCAGTCGTTTCTTGATTGCATGTTTGTATAGCTTGTGTAGCTTTCTTGCGTCAAATTCTGTGAACTTTGAAACAAATATCCAGAGATTTCTGCAAAAAATTAAAATTAGACACAATAACTTAGGAGAAGACTAGTAACAGGTCAAGAATGCAATCAATTAAATTCCACTGACTTGGGTGATCAGGGCATGGCATTTCACTCCTGGGACCTAGATTAAAATCCAGGCAATACAACAGTTAAACGTTCTCTTTGTGTCCTCACTAAGAATTCAATGAGAAGTAGGCATTGCAGTGCTCCCAGTTAAGAGGGTTTAGAATATGAAATGTAATTTAATGCTAACTTGTAATGGCACTTAGGTTCTGTATAGCTCTTGGAGAAAATGGAGAGAAAATGGGAAAAAAAAATTGAGGCTAATTTGACTCATTGGGGCAGAGTGAAAAGTGCATTGTAGAATCATGGAGTCATACAACGTGGAAATAGACCCTTCAGTCCAAGCCGACCATGTTCCCAAATTTTGCTTGAGCTGTGCTCAACCTGGGAGGAGCTTCTAGAATCACAGGATGTTTACAGCACAGGAAGAGGCCAGGTATCCCATCAATTCTACGCTGGTGAGAAATCAGACCACTAGCCTAATCCATCTGTTCACAGTTTGGTGTGGACATCGGATACCAGAAATGGAATTGGAATTTTCACTGAATTTACACCCATCAGTCGATAAGCAGAAAAGAGCACCTTCTTTTTAACAAAGATCTACACTGATGTGCTGCAAGAAGACACTATAGAGACCATAGGGCTGGTATCTCATTTACGGATTAGTGGTGGTTTAACCCAAGGGTCACCACACCTCAGGCGAGGGGAGAGGTTGAGAAGGAGAATCCTTCATGATAACTTCAACCAGTGCAGGAATTGAACCCACACTGCAGATTTAACACTGCATCACAAGCCAGCCATCCAGCTGACTTAGTTAAACCTATCGTGGAGCAAGTGAGTTGAATGGGGTGTCAGGAATAATAGAACTTGTATATGTATGCACATCTTTTGACACTCCGTATATGGCACTGCCAACGATACATATAAACTAACTGGTAATCAGTGAAAGATAGAGCATAATGAGTAATTGACAGATTTATAACCTGAGCACTCCTTCCATTGTCGCAATCATTGTCATAGCAAATCTGTCAATCTTAGTTGGTCCAGCATCAATTGCTGTTGCAGATGACTGTTCTAAACTTCCACCACACTTGAGTATTTTCATTGCTGTAAGATCCACCTATAATTTTTTTGACAATCCCACTCGAGTTGGAGACTCCCAGATAATTGAAATACTTTCCCCAGAGATTTTGAAATTTAGTCTCTGCTCCTCTTAATATCTTAAAGACTTCCACTAAATTATCCTGTAATTTTCTAAACATTACTCTCAGTAGTCTGATCAAGTGCTTGGTGTTCTAACCCAACAAGACTTTATATAGCTCAAGTATAACTTGCACTCTCTTGAAGGGCTATTCCAGGATTTTGATCCAGCGACAATGAAGGAACGGCGATATGTTTCAAAGACAGGATGGCGAGTGACCTGGAGGAGAATGTGAAGGTGGTGGTTTTCCAAGGTATCTACTGTCCCTGTCCTTCTATATGGTAGTGGCTGTGGGTTTGGAAAGTGCTGTCTAAGGATCCTTGGTGAACTTCTGCAAAGCTATCTTGTAGACGGTATACACTGCTGCTACTGGGAGTCAGTGGTGGAGAGAGTGAATATTTGTGGATGTGATGCCAATCAAGTGGACCACTTTGTCTTGGACAGGGTCAAGCTTTGAGTGTTTCTGCAGTTATACTTATTCACATAAGTGGGGAACATTCCAACACACTCCTGACTTATGCGCCTTATATATGATGGCAGACTTTGGGGAGACAGACGATGACTTGCTGCTGCTCTGACCCGCTCTTGTAGTCACAGTATTCCTATGACTAGTCCAGTTCAGTTTCCCATAAATAATAATTCCAAGTTTTTTTGATAGTGGGTATTCAGCAATGGTGCTGCCATTGAGTATCAAGTGGAATGGTTAGATTCACTTTTGTTAGAGATGGTCCTTTCTGTCACTTTTGTGGCACAAATGTTACTTACTACTTATCAGCACAAATGTGGTCTAGTTCTTGCTGCATTTGAACATGGACCGCTTCAGTAGTTGAGGAGTCACAAATGGTGCTGAACATTGCGCAATGATCGAACATCCTCACTTCTAACTTTACGATGGAGGGAAGTTCAATGATGAAGCATCTGAAGATGGTTCAAATGAGGACACAACCCGGAGGAACTCCTGCAGAGATGCCCTAGAGTTGAGATGACTAACCTTCAATAAACACAACTATCTTTCTTTGTGATAAGGATGACCAACAGTAAGTTTTCCCGATTTCCATCATCTCCAGCTTTCCTCAAGTTCCTTGATACCACACTTGGTCAAATATGGCCTTGATGTCAACGGCAGTCACTCTGACTTTACCTCTGGATTTCAGCTCATGTCCATGTTTGAACCAAGGCTGTAATGAGGTCAGAACCCAAACTGAATATCACTGAGCCCGTTATTGGTAAATATTGATTGATAGCACTGTTGATAATACCTTCCATTTCCTTACTGATGATTGACAGTAGACAACAGAGCAGTAGTTGGCCAAGATGAATTTGTCTGTTTATTTGTACAGAACAAACCTGGTCAATTTTCCATATTGCCGATTTCGTGGCTGTACTGGAACAGCTCAGACAGTGGAATGATAAGTTCTGAAGCAGAAGTTGTTAGTATTGTTGCTGGAATGTTATCAGGGTCCATATTCTTTGCAGTGTTCAGTGCTTCCAGACATTTTTTTTATATCACAAGGAGGAAAATGAACTTGCTGAAGATTGCTTCAAGTACTTTAGACATATCTTTTGCACTGAGGTTCGGGGCTCCCCCTTAATACAGGATGGAAATATTTGTGTAGCCATTTCCTCCAGTGAACCACAAACACACACAATGGAGGGTATTGCTTAATGCTTCCACATAGACTGTGCAGTAGTCACTTTTACCAATCCTGACATATATAGATGCATCTGTGGCAGACGCTTTACTGAGTATGCAATCAAATACGCTTTTCCCTCTTGTTGGTTCCCTCACCACCTGCTACAATCCATTAGGATTCAATCAACTCAGTCAGTAGTGGTGCTGCTGAGCCACTATAGGTGATGGACATGCAAGCCCCCCACAAGTGCTTTCTACATATTTTTACCTCTTGCAAAAAATTCTAATGGTCATTCTATTAGTTTTTTGGATCATCTTCTATACCTGTTCCTTATGTTTTAATCATGCCCATGGATAATCAAGCCTCTTTGGACTGAGAAAAAATAGAATACAGCACTTCCTAAATGGTGAAAAGTTGGGAAACAGTGTAAGTCCAAATTTTTGTAATTTTTCAGGGGATGCAAGTGTCGCTGGCTAGGCCAGCATGCCTTGCCTATCCCAAATTGCCATGGAGAAGGTAGTAGTGAGCTGCCTTCTTTAGCTGCTGCAGTCCTTGGGGTGAAGGAACATCCACTATGTCATTAGGAAGGGACCTCGGTTTTTCTTCACTGAATTTCATTTGCCAGCCACAGCATTATCTAATTATTTAATCAGTCTCTTTGTAATTTTACACTTTCATTAAGCCTGCAATTTTTTAAACTTAGAAGCATGAATCCATCGCTAAGCCAAAAGCTCACTCCTGATTGAAAGGTTATGTGGTATCAATATTGTCAAATTTAAGTTTTGTTTTTGCACTATTCTGAAAAGACTGCTATACCGAGCTGAAATTCTGCCACCTTGCTTATATCTATTTACTCAATGGACATTGCCTCCACTTTATTTCCAACTGGTCATCAGGCAATCACATCTCAGACACAGGTTCAAACACTTATAGATTGGATTTAATATTTGAAGTGCTAAATGCATTTCAATCCAAAATTCACAAGAAACTGTCTCTATAAACGTCTTTGCATTTATGTACTGCTTTTCGGGATCATTTACATTTCAAAGCATTAAGTCAATGAAGTTCCTTCAAGTTGCAGTTACTGTTGCAAGTGTACAAGTATTTACATTCGCCAATATGCAGCATTTGTTTCCACTGGAATGTGTGCAATTTGAAAGATGCACTTTTAAGTAGTACGTTACTAAAATATAAAGCATGACTTCATGATCGTGCAGGTTTGCTTAACACTCAACTTCTGCTCACCCTTTCCCAATTCCTGCCAAAAGCACAATGTTCACCCGTGCAATTTATCCCATAGTTATTAAATAGACATAACTGAACAGATTTTAGTACCATCAACTGTACTCAAAGTCTATTTCTTATCATGAAATCAAAACCAGTTATGCACCTTCAATATTTGAGGAAATTACTGTTAAGCAAAGTGAATACTTTGCATAATTCTATGAAACTCAATCTTAGCACAGATTATTCATGTAATTTATTTCCCAGCAACTACTGATCTTTTCAGTTTTATATTATGATAATAAGGAATGACTGAAGTTGCTTACTTTCGCCATTGTTTGATTTGTTCTGGATTTGAGTATTCTTTCAAGCATTCAGTGATGTGGTCTCCAATTTTAATCAGGCACTGCCTGGTATGTTCTAGTTGCTCTTTTTCTGAGAGGCCCTTTTCAGGTCTGTCCAATTGCTTCAGTGCTGCCTTTACAGGTCTCATTCTTTCTTTACACTGTAAAGCATAAGCAAAAAATTATAGTGATTTGATAAGTTATAGCAGCAGCAGAAGACATGAACTTATATTCTGAATGCTTAGACAGTTGACTTGGCAATAGCTACCTTAATGCCACACTTAGGACATCTATGACTCCTTAAAGGATGTCTAGTACTCGTTTCCACATCCACATAAAAGGAATATGGACTAAGTGGTGGCAAATGGGACTAGATTAATTTAGGATATCTGGTCGGCATGGATGAGTTGGACTGAAGGGTCTGTTTCCATGCTGTACAGCTCTATGACTCTATGATACAACCCTGGGACTTGCTTAGAAGCTCACTATCCCAAGAGGACGAGAGTACCAGTTGAGAACTACTCCCAATGCAGTTCCACATGCCTGTCCTGAAATAAGCAAGCAAGTAATAAGTAAATAATAACTAAGTAATAAATAAGTAAGGGCCAAACTGGGAGATACAGAATTGTTTAATAATTAAATTAATGAAGTACAGAGAAAAATCAATCAAGATTAGCAGATTCCCCGAGGTTGAAACTTGATTATACTTTATTTAGGCTTCTCAACTCGTCCTACCACCTTCAAAGATTTTCAAACACCACGAACATGCGCCATGTAAATAGTTAAGATAGTTCCAAAAAGTAGTTACAGTTGAAAATAGAAATTCTACCAATTCAGCAAATCTACGTTGTGCTGGCTAGAAATGAGAAAAATATGCGTAAGAAAACAGAATTAAAGGAACATTGCACAGGGTACAGTTAGACATCTTCATCTGGAACTCTAAGAAACAGCAAACTCCAACATAAATATCAGTACAAGTCATCAATACCTATACTTACAATACTAAAGGTGTTCTGATCAAGTTCTTCTGCCTCCTCCGTGATGGGAACTGGATCATTGCTCGCTGTAATATGAACTGGGACATCAGCCTTTTTAGGCTTCTCCTTCATCTCTGATTTAGCTTCAATCACCTACAATCAACCAGTTATTGCATTAGTCAAAAGAGAAAAGAATGAATGCAAATTAAAGGGGCCATTCATCCCTCACATCTCTAAGACAAGTAGCTCTTTACATGGAGCTATCGGCTATAATTTCCCTCCCCTTTTCTTGAATCATTCTATGTTCTTCAAATATATCCAATTAATTTGCTAGAGCTCTTCAGGAGGGTTTCAACTGGTGTGGCAGGGGGCTGGGAACAGGAACAACAGGCCAGTAAGTGCAGAGACTGAGGACAGAAGTAAGACTGAGATGTGTATTGCGCAGAGTAAGCGCAGGCAGAGGGAAGTCACGGGGCCCAGAGGGGCTGGAGGTCTGGAGTGCATTTACTTCAATGCAAGAAGATGGACAAACTATGAGCATTGATTACTGCATGGAATTATTCTGTTATTGCCATTATGGAGATATTGTCAAAGGAGGGGCAGGACTGGCAGCTTAACATTCCAGCATACCGCTGTTTTAGATGGGACAGAAAGGGAAACAAAGGGGGGGGGGGGTGAGTTACATTGCTGATTAAGGATCACATCACAGTTGTGTTGAGAGAGGCCACATCGGAGGGATCTTGCAGCGAGGCATTATGGGTGGAGCTCAGGATTAGGAAGGGTGAAACAACAATGTTGGCAGTTGTCTATAAACCTCCCAACAGCCCATGGAAGAGACAGAGCAGCAGATATGTTATCAGATATTGGAAAGATGTGGAAAAAGCAGGGTAGTCATGGTGGGTGACTTCAACTTTCCTCTAAGGGACTCCCTTAGAGCTAGAGGCTCAGATGGAGAGCAATTTGTTAGATGTGTCCAGGAGGGCTTTATGAGACAGTATGTTGACAATCCAACCAGAAAGGAGGCCATACTCAACTTGGTATTGGGGAATAAGCAAGGACAGGTGATCAATGTTTCAGTAGGAGAGCATTTTGGGCTTAGTCACCATAACTCCATTTGATTTCGAGTAGTCATGGACAAGGACAAGAGTGGTCCTTGGGTGAGTGTGCTTAATTGGGCAAGGGCCAATTGCACCCAAATTAGACAGGAGCTGGGGAATGTGGATTGGGAGCAGTTATTTAAGGGCAAATTTACATCTGGCATGTGGGGGGCTTTTAAAGACTGGTTAATTAAAGTGCAGGACATGCACTTCCCTGAAAAACTGAAGAAAAGGAATGGCAGGATTCAGGAACCATGGATAACAAAAGAAATTGTAAGCTTAGTCAAAAGGCAAAAGGAAACATACGATAGGTCTACGCAGCTGCAAACTGATGAAGCTCGAGGAGTATAGAGAAATTAGGAAGGAACTTAAATGTGGAATTAGGAAGGCTAAAAGGGGCGATGAAATGTCTTTAACAAACATGGTTAAGGAGAATCCCAAGGCTTTTTATTCATATTTTAGAAGAGGGGAGCAAGGGAAAGAATAGGCCCAGTCAAGGATAAAGGAGGGAAGTTATGCGTGGAGCCACAGAAGGTGGGAGAAAGCCTTGATGAGTACTTTGTATCGGTTTCACCAAGGAGAAGGACATGACTGACACTGAGGTCAGGGATGAATGCGTGAATAGTTTTGAGAATGTCAATATATTGAAGGAGGACGTTTTGAGTATCCTAATTCGCAGTAAGGTATATAAGTCCCCAGGGCCAGACAGGATCTATCCCAGGTTTCTGCAAGAGGCAAGGGAAGAAATAGCTGCGGCATTAGGAGATATTTTCACAGCCTCTTTGACCACAGGCGAGGTCCCAGAGGACTGGAGACTAGCCAATGTTGTTCCCTTGTTTAAGGAAGGAAGCAGAGATAATCCAGGAAATTAGAAGCTAGTGAGCTTGATGTCAATGGTGGGGAAGGTCTTGGAGAAGATACTGAGGGACAAGGTATATTCACATTTGGAATAAAATGGAATAGTTAGTGACAGGCAGCATGGTTTTGTATGGGCAAGGTCATGTCTCACCAACCTGATTGAAAATTTTAAAGAGATGACAAGATAATTGATGAGGGAAGGGCTGTGGATATAGTTTATCTGGACTTTAGTAAGGCATTTGATAAAGTAGCACATGGCAGATTGGTACAAAAACTAAAATCACATGGGATTCAGGGTGGGCTGGCTAGATGGATACAAAACTGGCTTAGTCACAGAGACAGAGGCTGGTGATGGAAGGGTGTTTTTCAGAATGGA